AACAAAATCAATCGATTATTTGCCCAAAATTCTATGCAAAAGTTGAAAATAATGCCCTTACGTTTTTACATTCAAACATAGAAATCTTACCAACGTCTATCCAATGTAAACGCAGAGTTAGTTTACCGGCTGCCTTTGTGGCTTAAGCGAATTATATTCTGTAAGTTAATGTGGTTGTCATCTATGCACCGTTTAATTTTAAAGAAAATAATAGACTTCTTCTTTTTTTGTTGTCTTTCTTTGTTATATCAAGTATTAGTCTTCTAGTTATATAAAATCAATCCATGGTATCACAACGGGTCATTATTTGTACTTAAGTGGACTTTGTGTATAAGGTCGCTTCTTCAACCTTACATAATATTAAACCTAAAACTAATCTATGGTCCTCAGTGGCTGACGTTTAACAAGATTTTGCACAGAAACACAGTTCTTAACTAATACTTACAAATACTTATAGGCAGAAATCGGAAATCAAATAAAAAAAAGTTTACAAAAAACTTGAATTCTAAATTAACGGAAACTCTGACTCGGAAAGTAAACCAAAATCAGATTCTATGTCCGGAATTTTTGAATGAAAAAATAATTACAAAATTCATTTTCTTCTCTTTAAATTAGACCCCAGCGAGTATAATATATCTATATCAACGCTTCAAACAACCCAATCCATCATATGTACGTTCTTTGACCTAAATGATTTTGTAATACAACATTAAGGTGTGATGGCGTATAATATCGATTAGACAAAGTTATAGTTATATTATCAGCAGAAGCTATTATGTTGCAGCCTAAAGCCTCTTAAATTATTGGGGCCCATTGCTCTATAGCAATGGGGACAGAACTGTGATTGAGTGAACTGATTGATTGAGATTAAGTGTTTATTTCCTTTTTCAATGCAAAAAGGATAACAGCTTTGTCATAGCTTTGCATAGCGCCTTGAAGACTGATTGCACAATTATATTGAACCAATTCTTTCTTCTTTATAATAGTTTTGCATTAAGTCATTTATTAAACTCAGATATTGAATTTCACTATGTTCCTTTCGATGTAATCTTTGTGTACCCACACTTTGAATCCTTATTCTTTGTTGGACTTCATTTATCTTCAAACAACCTGAAGCAGCAAATCGCACTAAGTAATGACATGAAAACCAACAATTTAAGAAAATATTCTCTGTAAACCTCAAGAGAACGTAGTTTAAATTGTAAGTTCTATGTATGGTATTTTGTGAGTTATAAAGCCCCAAATAAAAATCATAAAAGTTATAAAGCCCGAAAATAAATATATGAGCCATAGATCGACTGTATGCTTTTGAACTACTCCCCTTAACTTTTGTATATACGATAAGGTTGAAAAGGCAATTAGTCAGACGGAATCTGCCAGTCATGCTATGACTTTTCATATTCTATGTAAAATTACACGTATTTGGTATCTAAAACACTAGGCCTTATCATTTAATGCCTTATCCGATATGTGCAAAAGTTCTATGAGGAGAAACTGAAAAGTTGCAAGCCCATGTATAATTCTTATTTGCGAAAAAATGTTTATCATTGTTGCGATTATAGAGTTCAATTGCACCAAAGATTCGAAGTAGAAATTTCGAACTTCAAAAATCGAATTTCGATTTTCGATTACGAAATTAATTTTGTTTTTGTTTAGTTTGCTTTATAGATATTTGTTTTTTTCACTATTTATTTTCCACTTTCAAATTGAACTTTACCTTTTATTAACCGGTGTACGCCAGCTATTAATATTTTGCTATGATAAGAATTCGAATGTAAAGGTTAAAGATGTTAAGTTGATATATATTTATAGATATTTAAATTTATGAACGTATAAAACCATATAAATCGTAATAATCTAATATTGAATAATTAAAACTTTAAATTTATAAAATATATAAATTTTTTATAAATATATTTTTAAGTATAGTATATAAATAATATATATTAACAATAACATAACATATATATGATATGGAAGATATGACTGTATATATATAAATATATAAACTATTATATGTAAAATAAAATTAAATATTATATATAGGAAAATATAAGATGAAATATTTTAAATATTGGGGCTCTCTGGTTCATGTGGAAGACTATTATGAAGTATAGACAATGTCCAAAATGATAGGCTCTTGATATTTTAGCATGCAATTACGTAGAATTGATTTCGGAGACCGTTAAACAATAATAAACTTTCCTTTCTCAATAAAAAATCGTCTTGGCTGTTGAAGTGATTTAAAAATGAGTCTTAGTTTCTTCTTTCTCTCTCTTTTAGAGTCATTTGTTGTTTTTCTTATTTTTTGGGATAAACTCTTATATTCGGAAAATATTGTCTTCAACCACTGAAAAGTTTTTCTAAAGAGAATTCCTTAGGACATAACACATTTATTTCCAGTTATTCAGTACTGATTTTCTTAAAATATTTTAAAAGTTATTTAGAAGATATCAGAGAGCATGTAAACATAATTATTTTTATTATAATTGAGAATTTAGGTTTGCACTACAACCTACGAAAATTATTTCTGCACCTTTCCAAGTTTAAGCATCTAATACAACAGCAATCTGCTGTTTCCTTGCCTTTATAGCAAAGGATCATCAGATTTTATCATTATTTTAATTTAGAAATAGTTTTTTATATTATTCTTTTAGTTTCTACCTTTATTTGTTGATTGACTGCCTGAAAAGATAAAGGTACGCCGGTGCATCAACATATATATTTTTTTAATTGATATCAGTAAAGCATAGACTTCAATTTTGAAGTCTACAAAAATAGCAGTCTGCAACATATTTTTTGAATCTCTGTTCAATTCTCCCAGCATTTGTTCTGCCGTTTTCTATTCTTAACCCATTGATCTATTCCATTTTTCCAGCATCTGCTCTGTCGTCTTCTATTTTAAACCAACGGGTATATCACATCTATGAGTTCCTTTTTGCAGTTATTATGTGATTGGATCTCATGCAGCGCAGTAGCTGAAAAAACATGCTAGTAATCCGTAGACGACTATTGTATGATAGTCATTTTGTGAGATCAAATTTTATGAATCAAACATCAGGTATGTCGGTCGAAGTGTTTTTCGTTTCTGCATATAGTCTTTAGAGTCCTATATACTTTTACTAATTTTATAATAAAATTAAATGTGCTTGTTTCATATTACATATAATCAAATGCCAAGTCATAGCAAAATATCACGTGAATTCACTCAAATTCTAATGGTAAGTAATTAAGATGTACATCAATCATCTAACTCTCATAAGAGTACCTATACTAAAAATTTTTAAAGAACCAGTCTAATCTAATACATTTTTAAAAATATAGATATAAATATATAATTTTGTAAACGGTTTGGTTTAATTAGATGAAATGCGAAAGAAATTACTACAAGCGCAATAATACGTATACCCGACAGGCCAACATATAGAGCTAGTTTGTTATTTTGTCCTACAAGAAGACTCCATTCCTTAGTCAGATAGAACTGTGATTATTAACCGACTATACAGGGGAATATCTTATGTTATGTGTGCCCGAAAGGCAATGAGGTTTTTAGACTCTCTAGTTTAGCTTTCTAATAGAAGGCAGATACTAACACATGAACTTCTATGCATATTTTATGTTAAAAAATCTTCAACGTGTAGATTATTCTTGCCTTCAGAAAGCTATAGTCTTTGTAGGATCCTTCTAATAAATAAAAAAAACAACATTAGTTTTGTTTATAATTCTGAAACACTTAAAAGCGTGTCATAATTTTTATTTTACATTTTTTATTTTTTAAAATTCCAACTGATTTTCATTAAAACTTTTTTTAAATATTTTTTTTTCATTTATGGCACTTTAGCTTATACACTAAAAACAATGAGATTACAATAAAAATTTGTTTATTTTACAATTACAATTTTTTGAGTTTTTGTTGTAATAATAATATATAATAAATAGTGAGTTTAAAGTAGTATAATAAATACAATTATTTGTACAAGCCAAATTGAAGTAAAGTAACTGCAGTTAGCATAAATAATATATACTCACATATATATATATTTATATATATATATATATATGTATATATGTATCTAGATGTATGTGTATATAGTTTAAAAATTTGAAAATATTTAATTTGATTTGATTTGATTTTATTTTATTTTAATTTATTTTATTACATTTTATTTTGGTTTTGTTGAGTTTAGTTTAGTTGAAAACTTTAAGTAGTTTTGTTGTTGTTTTTGTTTATAATTATTTGTAATTTATTGTCATTTAAAATTTTAGAGAGAAAAGTACGTCTATTTTTAATTAAAATGGTTTTTTTTTGTTTTTATTATTTATACATATATATAACATTTACACAATTATTGTCTTTAATTTGTTTTTAGGTTGAAGTTTGAAATTTGAAATTTGAAATTTTTGTGTGTAAATATTTTTTCCTTTTTCTTGACATATTTTGCTAATAACAAGGACTTGCTAGGATTTATATGGCAAAAAAGTTTTTAAAAGTTTTTTTTTTCACAATTCAAATTTCATTATTTTGCATTGCTCGTAGTGACGTCATTATACAGTATTACTTTCTTATTTTTTATTTTTGTACTCTGCAAATATATATCTGCCAAAACTGTTTTTGTAATATTTTTTTTAATATTTTTTGAATTGTAAATTAAATTGATTTTAATATATAAATTTTTATTAAGATTAACATCACATGTTATGGTAAAACAGTTTCTTTATTTAATATCATAAAAATTATTTATTTTATTTTTTTTCCATTGTAATACAAATACATATAAATTGAAAAACAAATTTAGTTTTAAAACATAGCAAAAAAAAAAAATTAAATAAAATTATTAAAGCTTTGCAATGCAAGTTTCTTAAGTAGACGAGGGTAGTAAGAAAATAAAGAAAAGAGTTGTGAAACTCAATTTTTTTATTAGTTTTTTTTTGCAAAATTTTTATTATTATTTAGTTTTCTCAAAAATTTTTATAAAATTCAGTCAAACTTGCAGCTAAACATTAAATATTAAAAGTAAAACTTAATAATTATACAAAAGTCTTAACAAACCACATAAAAAAATATTCAATATATAGACCACACCCCTTACTTTATTCGTCTTTCTTCTTTCTTATCTTGCCTTCAGTCTGTATGGTTGCTGTGACCGCATCGAAGCAAGAGGAAATCGAAGGTGCCGATTGATCCTCGCTATAGTCATAGCCGGCCATACGACTCAGAGTGAGTATGTAGGAACAGGCCACACGGAGCACCGACAGTTTGGAGAGTTTCTGTGTATTCGAATAGGATGGCACAGCCCGGCGCAGTGTCTCGTATGCAGCTGAAATGGTATGTACACGTGTACGCTCTCTGGCATTGGCCTCGATACGGCGTTCACGTGTCATATTCTTGTAGTTGCGTTGCTGAGGACGTCCATTGACCGTTGCTGCTACGCTGGCGGCTGTGGCATTGGGAGTGTTGCCAGTAGTGAGGTTAGTAACGTTATGCGCGCTTGCATTGGCAACTGTTGCGGCTATGGCCGAACGCTGTGCAATGCGTGCTTGTAACGCTGTTGTGGCTGTTTCGAGTGTACCCTGGAATTTCTCACTTTCCGCCAAGACACGTTGCATTTTCTTAGTTATATAAGTTTTGGTGGGACTGCCAGCAGTACCACTTACTGTACACTCTTGTGTTTTCTGTGTTTCTACATTATTGTTACTGTTGCTGTTGCTGTTATTGTTGTTGTTGTTGTTGTTGTTGCTGTTAGTGTTGTTGTTGTTGTTGTTTTGTGTGGGTTTCTTTAGCACTAATGCCAATGGTTCCTGCTGCTCAGCCATATCGTTAATTGGTGCTCTATGTAAAGTGGTAACGCCTGGATGTCGTACATAAACATGTGCTGGATTAGGCATCAGTTCGTGTGGTAAGACTTGACTAGCATCCCAGGGTTGTGGTGGAGGTGTCGCTGCTGCTGGTGGTGTTAGCACAACTGCAGAGTCTGTTGTTGATGTGTACCGTATGCGCTTCTTAAGCGGTGCTACTGCTGTTGTTGTAGTTTCTTCACGATTGCACACAACTTTTGATGGTTCGGTACTTTTACGTTTGTTACGCACCAAAGCAATAGGTGAGACCTTAACTTCAACTGAATCCTCGGAGGCGTCGGTTGGACTGCTCGGATCGAGCCGTGAGTGATCAATTGAAAAATCATCGCCACCTTCTGAACTGCCTGAACAAAAGCCGGCATCGCGATCGTTTGAATGGGGTGAACCTGAAAATAGTCAAGAGAAGAAAAAAAGAGTTGTTTTTTAGTTAAAGTGGCTAAATTTCGAGTAGAAATTTTAAAGCTATTAGCAATATTAGATTTGTTAAGAGAAGTAACGATAACGAATTTTTTTTTCTTAATATTTTGTATAACTTTTTCGTTTGTGTTTTGAAGCGTTTTGGAAGCGTTTTGAAGCTTAGAAAGTTAAATAGACAATTTAGACATTTTTCCTAGGAAATCTTAACAGGTTTTATTTAGTTTTTTCTTTATATGATTGTTTAACAAAATTAATGTTTATAATGAAAAATTCATGCAAATCTAATGCTTCGTGTTTAAATTTGCATATTAAAATTTGAAACCGTGCGAGCAAAAATCCCCGTTTGACACGTTTGAGAGCTCACCAGACGCGTAGGCGTCTGAGGTCTTCTTTTGTCATTTGCCATTTGCCATTTGTTGTTCGGTTGTTCGGTTGTATCTCGATGAGATACTATTTTGTAAACATGCGTTCGAATGCTTTTTATTGTTATTGTTTTTTTCGTGTGTATTTTGTTTAAACAAATTAAAATAACAATACGTACGAAGTGTCAATGAATTCCTCGAAAATATATCGCAGCTGACATATCTGCGCTACTCTAGACAGAAAACAAAAACAAAAACAAAAAATTTTGTAAGTCAGGGTTTGACTTTGAGACGCATGGCTAATTTATGTATAACCATTTGACAATACAAACTAGTAAACTAATAGCGCACAAATTTATTTTAATAAAAAATTATTATTTTTAAAATGAAAAATATATTAAAAACTAGTTAAAAAATAAATTTATAAAATTAATATTTTTTCTTTTTCCTAAAATTGTTTTTATTTTCAGTGTTGTATTTCGCGACACTGTCGGGGCTTCAAAAAAATGGCGCCACTGTTAAATGTGGGTGCGCATCCGTTATGAACTCAATCTTTGATAATATATTTTCAAGAAATTTAATTTAAATGTATATATAATATATATTTTTGTTCAAATTTTTTATAATATAATTGATTTAATTAATTTTTTATTATATGTCTCTTTTTAGTTAATTTAATTTCGGTTATTTTTAGCCTTGCTGCACTGTCGAGTGACTTTTTCTTTGAAACAAGTTTTGCTGGCTCAGTTTTTTAATAAATTCATAAGAAATTTATTAAATTTTTTAGCTACGGAAATATCTATAATAATGTCTTGACGTACAAATACCAAAAATAATTGTCAAAAAAAAAAAAAAATTTGTGAAAGTTTCAAAGTTTTGCGTAAACTCACTTGCACAAAAAAGAAATAAATTTCGCCTTGTTTTAGATTATAATTATTGAATGTCTCTGTATTTGCATAAATTATATTAAAAATAAATAATTTAATTTAAATCTTTTTGCCTTAAATAGCTATTATAAATTGTGTAGTCTTAAAATAAATAATTCCTGTTATACGATTAAATATATTATTATTATACATAAATAAATTTACCTTATAACTGAATTATATCTTTATAAGTTAACTTTTAAAATATATAAATTTTTTTTTTATTTTGTGAAAAATAATTTTTTTTCTATAAATATTTTAAATAAATATATTTTTTTATACAAATAATTTATTTTTTAAATAAATAAATTTTTTTTATATAAATAAAAAATAAATAAATTTATTATCTAAACAAATTTTTTATTCCATTATTATAAATATTTAACTTTACATAAAATATTTTTTTTAATGGAGTTCATTTATTTTTTAAAAAATATAAAATCTCATAACTTAAATAGGAAAAAAAATGAAATGTAAGTGAGCTCTCAGTGGACAAACTATAGGTAATGTATCCATACCTGTAAAATTTGGTTAACGGAACCATTTAAACCATCTCACCGACTACCGGTTGAGAAACACTCAAATATAGAATGTCGACAGTAAAAAATGCTCAACTTAGAAGGACCTCTTAAAATAACTATTATTAATAGTAAAACATATATTAATCAAGAAAGTCTTGTATTTGGTTTGTGAAAGTCAAAGCGACTAATTGGTCCAAATCAGTTCTTACTTGTACATCCAGTTGCTGTAGTAGGGACATGCGTAAATGAGAACTGTCGAAGGAAAGGTTCAACAATAGTAATACTGGGTATCACAAAATATACAAAATATACAAAAAATTTCTTGAAACATCAATTATTGTAGATGGAACATTTATTAAAGCTCAGTGATGGCATTAATTTTAGATCAATTGATTAGTGAGAATCAGTGTTCGCTGTCCAATCCTAAATATACTTAATATATAAGGATTTTTTTTAAAACACTTATTGTTACATATGGAACGGCACATACAATAAAACTTAAAGATAGCATTAAGTTGGGTTCCAAAAATAAATTGTCTAGATTAGTTCTAGCTGTGTAATTTAGTTGCTGTAGTGCCTGTACACTGTCTAATAGTTGAGCATATTAACCGATTAGTCATACTCTTACAATTGCCGTTGAAGTTATAGTTCCAAGGAGAAAGACGATTGTGTTACCCGTATGTTCTGCCACTGTTCGGTACTTATGAGTAGGCGTTCATCCACAATTAGAGAATCAGTAGCCTTTCACTTTTATTATTTGATTATTATATCGTCTTATGATCATAACAGCAAAAAATTTATATATTTCTTAATTAAAATTTTGTCTTAAGCCTGATTAATATGTTAATAAAGAAATTCTAGTTATTAAATTCTGGTTATTTAAAAACTTCACAAACTTGATATGAACTAAACTTTTACTTAACCAATACACTAATAGACAATACGAGTAAATACGTTTTTTCATTGTACGACTATGGCTTTTGATAGATTTAACTTCCTTAAGTGGTCTATTTTATATTCTCTATAGAAGTGCATTTAATCTATTTTTAATCTAGAAATTCTTTTTCGTACTATGACACTGAAATACACTAAATTAATGTTTAACTGACGTTTTCTTTCAAGATACAATCTGCCAGTAATATCTCTTCATCTATATTAGTTCGCAAGAGCGAAAAACAACTTAATAACCCGAAAAAATTATGTGGACCTCGTGAAAATGATCTGCAGTGTATAAGGACTGCCATTAATATATCTCGAATTATATAATTTTTCATAGCACACAAATTGCAATTAAATCGCACTTTTCACACAAAGAAAAAAAAAAAGATGCATATACAGCACATGCCATACTTTAATGGCCCTTTCAGATACTTTTTTTTTGACTTTCTGGCTTATTTTTTTTCACTGTCCGTTGATGGCTGTTAATTTTGCCGAAAATTGCTTATGAAAAGGTGTAACATAAAATTGTTGATTGCTTTAAAAAAAGTAAATAAATATGAAAATTATTTTTTACCCAAAAATGGATGAAATACTGAAAAACTGCATGTAAAACAAATTAAAACATTAAACTTGCTTCCGCATATTAATGACTTGCAGCAAGTTAAACTTGTAACACAAAAAAAAATATTAAAAAAATTATGAGAAAAAAAATAAATTAAATAAAAATAAAAACAGCAGACAAAAAAAAGTATTTCAACTGAAAAATATAATTTCAAGTTCAAAAGCACAAGCCAATAACCTAAAAAGATATAAGTTTTTTGAGCACAAAAATTAAATAATAAAATTTTTTTTGGTAATATAAAATTGCTATAATAAAAAATTCAAACAATGAAAAATTTTGTTATATTAAACACAATTTAAAAAAAAATTATAACAAAAAAAAATCAATTAATAAAGATACACTAACACAAATATTTTGCGTACGACAAGTGCAGCAGCAACTTCTCGCCGTAACAAAATTATACTACGGCAACGCAATTAAGGATAATTTAAAAAATATGCAAATTTCTTTTGAGATACTTTTCGGTTGTTATTATAAATACCGAAAAAAAAACGTCAATGGAAAATAAAAAGTGAAATACTTATTAAAAGGTGACTTATTTGCATATAAAAAATATATGTCAAAAAAGCAATCATAAAAGTGAGAGGCCATTGTGAGCAGCTGTTTGTGGTTTAATTTGATTTTATCAAAAAATTTTATTTTAATTTTAATTTTAATTTCTTATTTTTCTCTAAAAACTCTAAGCACAGATTAAAATACATTATTTCCAGTTTCTTTTGCTTTTTTTTTTTTTGAACTCGCTAAATTGAAGTGAATTACGCTTAAATAAGAACATTCCATTTTAATAATTATGCAAATTAATATATTTTTTTTCTTATAAGTGATGAAATATATTGGAAATGCTCAATTATTATTTTCTACTTTTAGATACATATTTAAAAAAATGTTAGAATATCTTTATAAAATAACTATTGTTATAACAATTTTACAAAATTAATTAATTTATACGTCAGAAGGATTCAAACAGTAATGAAGAAAAAACAACAAAAATTTTAATCAATTTATTGAAAATTGACAATGTTATACTTGTACCTATCATCAGTGATCTTACGAAATATTCGAGTATTTATTTAATTAGTTTATAGTGTGTATGGTATATAATTTATTGGACTGCAAATGCTAGACTTAGAGTTCGTGCCTTTAGTTAATTTAATTGTCTCCAAGGCAATGCATCACACTTGCACTCTTTATAACCCACACAGAGATGTTTTTTTTTTGCTTACTGGCTTGAATCTAATACACAAAATTTTTCTAAGTTATTAGAGGCTTCAGAGGCTTATTAATTTAAAATATTTTTTCTAAAAAGCTTAAGTAAATATTGTTCTCTCACTGAAGAAGTGTTTTAACTATGTCAAAATAGATCAATTATAGACTGATTGCAAATTATAAATTATCTATCTGTGATTTTAAAGTTTCCTACAAAGGAAGTTTAAAATGTACATTTCCATTCTTACTCTCAGACCAGTTGCAAATAGAAAAATGAGTGTGACATGCGTATAATGAGAGCTATTTCTGTAATAATTCTTTTAAATACAAGAGAATGCACGATTTTCTTGTGTGAAAACGTAAGAAGCTTTTTCGTGTGTTCTTGCGCCAGAA